AAGAGGTGACGCCCCTATCATTAGGAGCGGTGGGTGTTATGGGAGGCGAGCATTTGTGACGGGGTTTTATCGATGTAAACGTAGTGTCGTTAACGCTATCAGTAGTCATCTCATCGTCTTTTATGTCGAAGACAATACGTTTCCTTTCGCTTGACATCACTTTTGGCGTTGAAGTCAAGTCATTGTCAACGGTTCCCGACTTAGATGTACTCAAACGAACGAACTTACGATCACTGCAACCGTCGATTCTGATTGGACTGAACGGTAATGTCATGTCTTCCTCTTTGGGGGCGTCGATATCGAAATGAATTGATTTTCTGTGACTTCTTCGGGAAGAATACAATCTATCGCTTCGATCGGACGCTGGAGTGGAGGCGACGGTTAAGCCGTTAGTCTCCGTGACGTTTGTATCGTCTTTCAGATCAAATGTAATCACTTGTCGTTCACTAAAATTGACTTTTTTGCCACAATTAACAGAAGAGTTAGTGTCAAAGACAATGGGTTCTCGTTTCCGTTTCACGGCTTCCGTCTCAACGCTTTGTTGATCCAAATGATGGCAAAGAGGAATATGTAAGCCATCGCAGGCCTCGTCATCGCATCCAGTGGTCCGCCATTTATAACATTCGCCACCGATTTGGGCGCTTTTAAAGCCGATCTGCGGGTCTTCTGTGGATTCAATGATACCCTCAATCATACCTTTTCGGTACCGAATGACCAGATTTTCGGGCAATTCGTCGCGAATCAGGTGTTTATTGGAGCAAATGATACGAATGGCTTCGCGGGCCGACTGTTCCGCCGAAAAGGTAATAATCGCTCGACTTTGTTGTGAATTGGAGTACACTTTACACCTCAATATTTCACCACAACTTTCCAACAACTGATGCAACTCTTCCTCCTTGAGAACCGACGCCAATCCGTTCACATAAAGTCCTCGATATTTGAATGGATTGGACGGCAACTGATCCACAGTCGGGTCGTCGCCGTTAGTTATCATTAAGCGCTTGTTTTGCTTCAATTGGTCGACGAGAGCGTCAATTGTGTCCAACGAGTCGGCAATGGCCTCGACGTCCGGCCGATCGTATCCGAGAGCGCAGATCACGTGGAGTTTAATGTCGCGGATCTCGTTGTCGACGAACTGACACTTAATGGCCAACGATTTGGACAAAACGAGCGCATCGATGGCCTCCTGGAACCGATTCAACGCCCGTAAAGCGCGTCCTTTCCTCCAAAACATCATTTTATTCCTGTATTTCGAGTACTCTTTGCCATCAGTCGTGTCTTTCGCCTCTTTCTTGCGCTTCTTCTCTTGTTTAGCCACAAACTCGTCGCTCAAATCGATGGCCTTCTGGGCGTCGGCCAAAGCGGCCGCAAACTGACCGCACATTTCGTGAGCATAGGATCGGTCGGCGAAGAGATGACAGCTCTCGGGCGACAACTCGATGGCCTTCGAGTAGTAATGGATGGCGTCCTCGAAGTTGTCGTTGTCTATCAACTGTTCCGCTTGTATTGTGAAGCCAGTGATCCTCACCTCTGGCCTCAAGTCATTCTTCTTGTGTTTGAGCCACGAGTTTAACGTTAACGGAGTTTCCATCGAGTGGTCCGCCGATGAAGAGTGTGTTACTGTTCCGCTTGTATTGTGAAGCCAGTGATCCTCACCTCTGGCCTCAAGTCATTCTTCTTGTGTTTGAGCCACGAGTTTAACGTTAACGGAGTTTCCATCGAGTGGTCCGCCGATGACGAGTGTGTCGACGACATGATCTGTCTCTCTGTGTGTATGTCTTGGGATCAGATGAGTGGTGATGAGTGAGCGGATGGTCTGTCCATTCAATTAATGAGCGTTTGATTGCATTTTCGTAACAAATAATACAATGTTTTCATTATTTTGTTGTTTTGTTTTGTGGTTTGAAAACATAGTTTTCGCACATTATTTCACTCATAAATTACGGCCAAAAACTTTGTTTTGTGGCCTAAAGTGCCGTTTAATTGGGTTTATGTTTAGTTGGATTTAGTTTTGGCATTAGTTTACTCGTTGTTGTATTAATTAAAATTTTTAATTAAATACTTTTAATTTAATTTTACCTGAATATGTCTTAATCAAAGACAAATTAAAACTTGTATTGAAATCATTATAAGTCACAATAAAAGTGTATCCAAATAAACCAACTTTTAAAATGCTATTAAGAATTGCTTTAACTGTTAAATAAATGCATTAAATAAGTGTTTATTTAAAATTAATTATTTAAATGTACAGTAAATGAGGAAATCATAATTGTTTGTATATTATATGTATAATAAAAATAAAAATATATGTACAGTACTAATAGGTATACAATATCGAGAACCTGAGTCCAGTGCCTAATCACCCCCGTGTTCATCATGTTTAATGGGAACGGGAATGAACTTGGGCACTATTATCTTCTTGATAATTTTTTTCTTGCCATACCCTCCGCCGCCTCCGCCCAGGATTATGATGTCTCCGCCCTTCCGGTTCTTGCCGTTCGTCTTGATTAGTGTCGGATACCCTCCGCCGCCTTTCCTAAAGGTTCATACAAAGTGGTGAATACAAAGTTAATTATTTAGTTTACAAATTTATAAGATTTATTAT